GTTCAATGGTGGGAAATCCGCTCTGTACTGGACAGCGAATCCCCTTTCTCTCTTGGTAAGTTTGCTGGGTTTAGAACCATAGGTTAAGCGACTCTGAAAGAACAAAAGAAGGAACCAGGACAAACACCTCTATCTTTGGTGCTGGTGCTTGTCAGAACTTCAGCTAGAACCTGCTGACAGTGGTGGCTATTTCATGGTTTTCCTCAGTTAGAACCTTGAAGTTTGAAACAAAATAAGAACAAGGAGACACATCCACGCAAATGCCTGCACGTGAAGGTCTAACAGTGTCTAGTTAGCTTTCTACTGCTGGGATTAAAAATACTGACCAAGCCAGGCATGGTGGCGCAAGTCTTTAATCCCAGCACTTGGGAGGCAGAGGCAGGTGGATCTCTGTGAGTTCGAGGCCAGCCTGGTCTACAAAGTGAGTTCCAGGACAGCTGGGGCTACAGGGAGACCCTGTCTCAAAAAGACCAAAAAAAAAAAAAAAATACCAAAACTGACTTGGGGAGGAAGGATTTATTTGGCTTACGGCAAAGTCCATCACTGAGGGAAGTCAAGGCAGGAACTGAAGGACAAGCCATGAAGGAATGCTGCTTACTGGCTTGCCCCTTGGCCCAAGCTCAGGCTGCTCTCTTTCTTTTACTTCTTTTTTTTTGCTTTTGGCTTTTTGAGACAGGGTCTCCCTGTAGCCCCAGATGGCCTGGAACTTACTATGTAGATTAGGCGGGCCTTGAACTCACAGAGATCCACCTGCCTCTGCCACCCAAGTGCTGGAATCAGAGGTGTGTGCCACCATGCCCTGCCAGCCTACTTTTTCTTTATTATTATTATTATTTTTATTTTATGTGTATGCGTGTATTGCCTGAAACTAGGTAAGTGCACCCATGTTGTGCAATGCCTGCGGAAGACAGAAGCAGCTGTCAGATCCCCTGGAGCTGGAGTTATAGACAGTTCTTAGCCGCCATGTGGGTGCTGGGATTCGAACCTGGGTCTTCGGCAAGAACAACCAGACAGAGACAGGTATGTGGTGGTGCAAGCCTGAAATCCTAGCTCTCAGGAGTTGGAGGCTGGAAGACTGCCAAAAGTTTGAGGCTAGCCTGGTTTATATAGAGCTCCAGACCAGTCAGAACTACATAATGAGATCCTGTTGCAAAAACAACAAAAAAGTAGGACTAGAGAGAGAGCTCAGCAGTTGGAAGCACTTGTTGCCTTTGTAGGACCGTTCAGTTACCAGCACCTGGACCCATGACCCTCCTCTGGCTTCCAAGGGTACCAGGCACACATGTGGTACACATACATACATGCAGGCAAAACACTCATACACATAAAAATAAATCTTTAAAACAAACAAAACATAGGAGCTAGAGAGATGGATCAGTGGTTAAGAGCATTTGCTCCTCTTGCAGAGGACCTGGCTTCAGTTCCCAGCACCCACGTTGGTTGACTCACAACTCACAGTCCTCTTCTGGACTACATGGACACCTGTATTCACATGTATATACCCTCCCCTACATAGTTAAAAGTAATTATTTTACTTTTATGTGTATGAGTGTTATGCCTGCATGTATGTAACTACACCTGTATGTATACTGCCTGTGGAGGCCAGAAGAGGGTGTTGGATCCCCTGGAACTAGAGATAAGGATGACTGTTAGCTGCCATGTAGGTGCTAGGAACTGAACCCAGGTCCTCTTCAAGAGCAGGCCCAAAATAATAATTATTATTTTTGAGACAGGGTCTTCCTGTAGCCTCAGCTGGCCTGGAACTCACTTTGTAGATCAGTCTGGCCTTGAACTCAGAGATCCGCCCACCTCCACCTCCCAAGTGCTGGGATTAAAGTCATATGCCACCACACCTGGCCCCAAAATAATTCTTAAATAAAGTAAGCCTTCTAGATGATTCTGCATCAGCTGAAATTGAGAACTGGATTTTTTAGACCCATGAGTATACAGAGGAAGCAAGGCTTTGATATCCTGAAGTCCAACTTGTTCACCAGGATGGAGAAATTGAAGCCCAAACAAGAAAACTAACCTTTCCAAAGACACACCGTAAGTTGTCTTCCACCGACCTCTGACCTCTTACATTCAGCAGGGCCAACCAGCTTTCTAGAGGCCCATGTCCCTCCCCAGCAGCAGGCCAGCTGTGAAATACCAATTCTGTTTGCTCAAGACCATAAGACATTTATTCCCTCCAAGGAGGCGGGGGAAGTCCAGAGGAACTCTTAATATGTCTGGTTAGGGTGTGATGAGGTCACACAAGGCTTCACTTCCCCAAGCTGACGGGAACTACTGTTTTCTGGTTTCTCGTCTCACATGATTTGACTTACTAAATATATTTAAGTTAAAATGAAATGACCAGATTTCCAATATGCAAAAACCAGGACTAGAGTGTAGGCTCAAGAAAACTGTGCAGGTGACGTGTGTGGACAGCACTTACCATCACATACTGAGGGAAGAAAGCAGAAGTCAAAACTGTATGAAACACAGGGTTGGAGAGGTGGCTCAGCAGTTAAGAGCATTGGCAGCAGATACCAGGCTTCAATCTCCAGCACCCACACGGTGGCTAACAATCGTCCATAACTCCAGTTCCAGGGCATCCAATGCCCTCTTCTAGCCTCTTTGGGAATTGCATAAGATGGGTGCACTTACATACATGCAGGAAAACACTCATACACATAAAATAAAATTAGCAAAACCCTGAATGGACATGTAAACAACTTCCAACAAAGGCGGAAAAGGCAGTAGACAGGAGAGAAACAGACCCCAACAATAACAATACTCCCCATGCCTGAAACAGTTAACATCTAAATCCAGGGGTTGGGGACAGAAGGTACCCGACATTTTTCTCTGGCCACCAATGTGTGCACACAGGTGCACACACATTAACAGTCGCATGCAATACACAACTCAAATTGGATCAAAGACACAGGTGTGAACCCTAAAATTGCAACACTATTAGAAAACGTAGCATAAAAAGTCTTTGAGGCCGGGCGTGGTGGCGCACGCCTTTAATCCCAGCACTTGGGAGGCAGAGGCAGGTGGATCTCTGTGAGTTTGAGGCCAGCCTGGTCTACAGAGTGAGTTCCAGGACAGTTGGGGCTACAGGGAGACCGTGTCTCAAACAGACAGAAAAAAGAAAAAAGTCTTTGAAAAAGCCGGGCATGGTGGCATGTGCCTTTAGTCCCAGCACTCAGGTGGCAGAGGCAGGTGGGGATCTCTGTGAGTTTCAGGCCAGCCTGGTCTACATATTGAGTTCCAGCGGGTGCTACAGGGAGACCCTGTCTCAAAAAGGCCAACCCCCCCACCCCCAAAAAGTCTTTGAAACAGGGTTGGCTAAATTGGAATTGGCCTTGAACTTGTGATTTTCCTGATCCTGAACGTTGGAATTACAGGTGGGTACACCTGGCTGGAGAACTCTTTATGAACCTTTGGCAAGACATAATCCACTTCTCCCACCCAAACAACACAATGGAATTAATCGAAATTAAAAACATCTAGGCCAGGGCTGGAGAAATGGCTCAGTGGTTAAGAACACTGGTTGTTCGTGCAGAGGTCCTGGGTTTGAATCCCAGCACCCATATGGCAGCTAACAACTGTCCATAAACTCCAGTTTCAGGGGTTCCGATGGCCTCTTCTGTCCTCCGCAGACATTGCACGACATGGGTGCACTTATCTACATGCAGGCAATACACTCATACACATAAAAAAATAAAAATAAATATTAAAAATAAAATCTTCTAGACCAGGCATGGTGGTTCACACACATAATCTCTGCACTTATGAGGCAGAGGACTGAAGATCAGGATTTCTAGGTCATCCACAGCTACAGATCCAGTTTTGGGCCATCCTGCACTATGCGAAACCCTGTCTAATAAACAAATAAATTTAAATTTTCTGCCAATTGAGTGCTGGTGAGACGGTTCAGGGAGTAAAGGCACTTGCTGCCAACCCTGATGACCCTAAGGCAATCTCTAGAACCCACATGGTGAAAGGAGAGGTGAGTCCTGACCCCACCACAGGTGCACCATAGCGACATACACACAAATGTAATTAACTTCTACCATTTCTATTTGAAAGTTACAAGGCCACAAAGTGAAAAACTATCCAGAAACAGTTATTTGCCAATTATATAAGCGGTTTTAAAAGAAAAGAGGCAGGCTTAACCGGTGGGCTTGCAGTGTGTTTAATAGACCCGTTAAAAAAAATTTAAGAGAGAGAAAAACCATAGATTTAAAAACACTTAAGTAGGCTCTGGAGAGATGGCTCAGCAGTTGAGGACACTGACTGCTCTTGCCGTGTTCAGTCCCAGCACCTACATGGCCGCTAACCATCCCCAACTCCAGTTCCATGGGATCCATCGCCCTCTTCTGGCCACTCACATGCATGCAGGCAAACCATTCATGCACATAAAGTTAAAATAAAAAACCCCAGCTAACCTAACCCTGCCCTCAGTCTTCCTGCCGTCTTTTCCAAGTTCAGAGTATCCGGATTCTGAGACTACACGGGTTTGGGGAAAGCTGGGTCAAGGTCAGAGTGCCCTAACCTTCCGTAACCTCCAGGACAACTTCCGAGGCTCCCGCCACTAAGAGGCCTGAGCCAGGCGTGGTGGAGGAGGCAGACGTAGGCGGATCTCTGTGAGTTCAAGGCCAGCCTGGTCTACATAGTGAGTTCCAGGACAGCTAGGCTACAGAAAGACGCTGTCTCAAAAAGACCAAAAAAAAAAAAAAAAAAAAAAAAAAAAAA